ACGAACTGTTTGTCGTCATGGCGACATGGCGTCTGGAGGAAACGACAGCAGGAAATCTTACCCGAATAACGGACCATCCTATGGAAGGTGATTTTGAAATCCGTACCTGAAAGTGATTTGCCCCACACACCCTCCTCCACTGTGTTTTCTCACTGGAACTTCCCTCGCCCTTTCAAACTATCTAGTGTAACTGAATCAAATCGTGCCACCCAGTGTCGCCATCACCTCCAACGACATCCACTCGAGATTTGCGTTAAGTTAAACCGACTCTTCGCAGGGCAAATACCACAGCAGGGCCTGCAGGTAACTGCGCGGCGGCCGCGGAGCGCCCCCGCGTCACGTACGTCACCGATCTGGATAAGTCCGTCATCGTCAGCAACTTCGACAAGCGCGGCTGGGTGCAGGTGTCCCCGGACGACGATTGGAACTTCTATTGGTAAGTGAAGGTACCCCACACAATAACGTTTTACGCCAGGCGACACTAAGCGCCTGCAAAGCGGTGGGTAGGCCAACCCGCCAAGCAGGCGTGCGAAGACGGTGGCCCGCCCGGCCCACCCGCCCAGAGCGCCTCCCTCCCACCCGAGCCTACCCGAGCCCCCTCGCGTCACCTCGAGGGCGGTGTTCTTTGTGTGGCACCTTACGATAACACCGACTTTCCCCGTTACGGCTGTTGTGGGGGTGGAAGAATAAATTGTGCTAAATAACAGGCAATTGATAAAATCATGTTTTGAGCAGGGCGGGGACTCAGACGTGTCGCACCCTCTTCAGCGTGGACAGCGGATACCGGATGAATGACAACCAGTAAGTACAGTAACCTTTTGGACACGGGTAACGGAGCGGCACTTTATTGTAGCAGATGGTGGTGGAGAAAAATTGATTTAAATTCAGCCCCTCCCTTTCTACCCCCTCTCACACATGCCTTCCTTGACCTCTGCCATGTTCTCTAATCACGGATTCACATTTGAAGGATGATAAACCATTTCCCGAATACCTACGAACTCACGCGCAAGGACCTGCTCGTCAAGAACATCAAGAGGTACAGGAAGGAGCTGGAACGGGACGGAAACCCCCTCGCGGAGCGGGGTGACACCCCGTCGCGGTACCTCCACCTCGACTTCGTGCCCGTCACGTTTGTCTTGCCGGCCGGTAAGTAGTGCACATCGATGGGATGTCGTCGAACTGGGGGAACGGGGAGAGGACGAACGTCGCCACGTGACACGTGACTGTGTGCTCGATCTCAGACTACAACATGTTCGTCGAGGAGTACCGGAAGAACCCCCAATCCACATGGATTATGAAACCTTGCGGGAAAAGCCAGGGTGCTGGCATATTCCTCATCAACAAGCTGTCCAAGCTGAAGCGCTGGTCTCGCGAGAGCAAGACGCCTTTCAACCCCAACCTGGTCAAGGAGTCCTATGTCATCTCAAGGTGAGTTTTCTAGCATAATCTTCGAATCTTATTTCCCATTTTAAAAACAATTCCCCTAAAAAGCTCTACTTAACAGTAATGGAGCCTCTTTGGTCCCACCCTCTTCCACCAAATGAGCACGAGCACAAAAAAATGAGTGCGCGTGCAAAGCATCCAATCCTCAGCACCAGCACCCCCAAAGATGACCACGACTACATAGGTGCGTTCAGGGGCTCGCTCTGGTCGTTAAAAATAGAGCTTGAACACCTTTCTTGCAGCTTGAACCTATAGAAAAGGCTCTCTAGGTAATTTTGTAGCTAACGCCGCTACCTGTTACTGCCCTCACTGCCAGAAACGAGACCGCCCGCTGAAGGCCCCGTGTGGTGTGGCCTTGTGCTGTAGCGAGGTGGGAG